AGTAATAAATGACTATGCCAAGTTTATTACAAATTTCTTCAAATGTATATTGCTAGCTGTGAAGAATCATTTACTTACAATCATGAATCTGCTTCAGATATAGAATGAAAGACATCTTTTCAATAAATTCTGATTAATAATGATTAACTTTGTAGGCTTCCATTATGGATTGGGCAAAAGATTTTATCGAAATATTTTATCGAAATATTTTCAGAATATTCTTGAAGCAGTCTTCATTTACCTAAGCTTTATGCTTAGTGCTATCATATAATATCTGCAATTCAAGAATATGGATCAATAAATAGTATGACCATTGAAACTTACAAAACTCTTTATAAGAATTATGTAAAAAGACCCTATCACATGTCAAACAAAAAAGATTATATGAAACAAATATTAAGGACGATATGTTTATAAATCTAGTAATTAATCATTATCTATCACTATGCACTGGTTAAATTATATTTTAACCATGAATAATTATTAAATTAGGTTATACAACAGAAGTTAACTGAAAAAGAAGCCAAAAAGAAATATTGCCGAGTAAAAGGATTTGGAAACCCTATGTGGACTTTAAGTTTAGATGAGTTGGATGATTTTCTTGAAAACAACTAAAATAATCTGAACTCATTACAATTTGAGGGGTTTCAAATCTTTTAATCGGTCTTGATGAATTTTTTGAAGAAGAACCAATTTCGTCTCTTAATGATTTTAATCATATACAGATATTTTCTTCAGCTTCATTAGAAAGTACAGACATAATTCGTGCTATTGCTAGTTTCCATGGAAGTCTTATGTTTTCAAACATTGTGTTTAGTAGCTATGAAAATAATGAAGAAATAAATTGGTATAGCTTGGTATGTATCGAACAGTTGTTCAATTCAATTTTTTTTTATTAAAATTTGCCTAACAATAGTAAATTATGACTATAAAAAAATGATACTTTGAAGGTAAATTAATAATATAAATATTATTTCAAGGTACTTCTTATACTTAAATTTTATTAAACAAACCAAGAGCCACTAGAATTCGTCTTTGTTCGTTGGTATGAGGAAGTTGGTGAATTATGGGGATGCCCTAAATTGAAGTTACTTAAACATTATAATTGTATACCTTAGATAGCATTGATAGGACAGTGCATATAGTCTTGAGATTTAATAAAATAAATAAATATTTATTGAATAGTTTTATTTTCTAATTTAAAAGTACATCGATATTTAAGTGTATATTATGTATGTTATATTTTGATAGATAACGATAAGTCTATATAAGTATCAATTTAAATAAAATCGAAAATAATCGATTTTTTTTTATAACAATAAGTATTGATTTATATAATTTCGATCATAATTGAATTTTTGTAAATAATGATATATACTGATTAAAATAAAATCAAAGAAAATCGATTTTTTTGTAAATAACGATTTGTATCGATTTAAATAATTTCAATCATAATCAATTTTTTGTTAATATCGATACATATCCATCTATCGATATATATCGATTTTGATATATATAGATTTATAACTACCCTGCCGATATATATCGTTATATTTCAATTGATATATATCGATTTTTTGATATATATCGATTAATAACTATCCAAAAGTTTCCTGATGCACCTGACATTAGGAGCTCAGAGCATCTATGCGAAGTGTTATGTTACATGGTACATGTACATAGAGGAATGTAAAACCAGTGTTATATAAGGCTTCAGGCAAACCCATGATAAGTCCCTCAGGCATAGAAGGCTAAGAAACTGAAGAGACGAAAACCTACTTGGAAATCCCAAGTAAAGAGGAGCACAAACTTTCGATGGTACTATTGAACTGATGGAAGGCCATGAAACATCTTCATAGGAACTGTTGAATAAACCGGATAACAAAGATGTGTAGAGGAGCATATGACCAACCAGGCTGCTGGAATCGCCAGAAGAAAAGGATACATAAGTATACCATACCGGGTTATCTAAATTAGGAGTCTAGGGAGTCAGTTAGTTCTGAGTTGTGGCTAGTAAAGAATGATAAAGAACAAGTTGGAAAGTTGGGTACCAGGGTTTGAATGAACTTTACAAGGGTAATAGCAGTCTAAGAAGTAACTCTGACTGCAAGTGTTGGCCTTGGCCATAGCGTCAAACCAGGTTAGTGGTAAAAGAGAATATGGCTCGCTCTGGTAGGTTTACCTTGAGAATAAAAATAGTCTAAGGATTATAGTCCTATGGTCGATAGCGAATAGATCTGGGTCTGTGACTCGGTGAAATTAATACCAGGGTTAGATTAGAGGGTTTAAATGGAACACCTAAGCAGGGGTGTTAGGTACGGCAACTGGTGGGGAACCCTTGGGTGGACTCCTTAAATAGGTAATATAGAAAAGTTACATGTATAGCCAGTTGTACACTCGTCTAATAGTTCATTATAGATACATCTATATAAACATGTACCTGATATAAGTATTAATAAAAAGCTCGGACCAAAGAGGTCATCTTAAAACTGAAAAAAAAAAAAATAAGTTTATATGAAGCAAGAATTAAACGATCAAGAGATGTAATTCAACCTCAAATTATTGTTTTACCAAAATTGTATACTTGGAATCAAAAAACATATAAATATGAAGTTATTTTGAAGAAGAATGGTGATCTAACTAAACTTTATCCTGGTGGAATTTATGTTCAAAAATTTAATAGTAAAAGTTCTACTTCAATATATAAACTAGTTCATAAACCTAAACAATTATATCAAGAAATTAGTAAAAAAAAATTACAAAGAAAAAAACAAAAAGAATTTATTACATATTGTAATAGTTTAGAATGTTTTGAAAATTAAAAAAAAATATAAATAGACTTCTTTTACATTTTTTTTCTCGCTAAATGGAAACTCCTTTTTTATGAAAATCAACATTTACTTTACTTAGTATATGTTTATTTTTTATGATAATAATCCAATTAACATTAATATATTATATTTATAAATCTGATTTTATTAATATTATAAACATAATTATACATTATACATGAGAAGCATTACAAGAAATAATAAAATTTATCGATAAATATTAATTCAAACTGGCTGCTAAAAAAAAAAATAAAAAAGCAAAAGCTAAACAAGTTACAAAATCTGAAACAATTAGAAAAGTAAAAAAAAAACAGAATAGTAAATCAAAAAAATCAATTTCAAAAATACAATCTACAAAAAATAATAATATTAAATATCAAAAAAATAAAACCTCAATCAATAAACCAGATTGTACTTATTGTAGAAGTTACAGATGATATAAAGTGATTTAAAATGTCTACAACAGTTATAACAACAAGAAAATGAAAAACTATTAATGATGGAAGTAGATCAATTAGTAAAAAAGTTTGTTTACTTGGATCATATAATGATATAAAAGCATATAATGTTTGTAAATTTTCAAGACTATTTGGATATATGTCAGACATAGTAAATATTTTTGAAAAAGATAAAAAATTTGCACCAGTAGATAGAAGATTTTATTCAATTCCATTACTTCAAGAAAAAAACAGTAGAATTTACATCATTTAAATTATTGGATTTTGTTGCACAATTTGAATTTGTTTTATTTAATCCTAATAATTTAAATGATACATCAAATATTCCTGAAACAGAGACATGATTAACAAAATTACTTTTATCATTTAAAATTGATTTTTATTTTGTATGAATTTGTGATAAAAAGTTAGCAAAAAAAATTGATCTTAAGATTACTGATGTTCTTATTGATTCAACTAATATTAGAAGACATCAATTTGATGAGAATAAAATTAAAAGAATAATGGAATGGAGTGTTGTGATTCCATGTAAAGGATGTGTTTTTAAAAATCATACTGTAACGATGTGTTGAAAGTTTACTAAAGAAGAAAAAATGTTTGCATATTATCTCAAAATGAAAATGAAAGTATTATTTATAATACTGCAAATTATAGATTATTTATAATTGTTGATTATATGAATTCTTTATATCAATCTCGATTGAATAATGATAAAATAAATGCTGATAATAAAATTTTATTAGATGAAATTTTTGGAGATTTAAATTCAGGATATTCAGTATATTTTACAAAATTTGAAATAGAAATAGCTTATGCACCAGCATTAGAGAATTATAAAAATTTAACAATGTTTTCACAAAATCTTAGTGATCAAATTATAGAAAGAATTAAAGAATTACAGAAAACAGAGGTTAAAACTGAAGAAGAGGGAGATGATGATTAGTTTAGTTTTTTTTTATTATTTTTTATTATTACTATTATTATTTTATTATTTTAATAAATTATATAAATACTCAATATCAAAAAAATAAATTATATAAATACATGTTAAATTTTAAAATAAATTAATTAAAAATGACTTGTGAATGTTATTATAATTATAATCGATTTTTAAATTGTTGTGCAATTAAAATTTGAGAAAGAGAAGATGAAAAAATAAATAATGAAAATTATCAAGAATATTTATTTATTGCATTATATGGAACTATAAAAAAGAGTATTAAAGAACATGATGTTAATAATATTTCTATAACTAAACCACCTTTTTTAAATAATAAACAACAAGAATCTAATAATAATGAAAATTTACCAAAAGAAAATAATAATTTAAATAATAATGAACAACAATTACTTGAAGATAATTTAAACAAATACCTAAAAATGAAGATCAACAAATTTCTGAAAAACATGAAGAACAACAAATTCCCGATAATATTATCTTAATTGAAAATTAAAAAAAAGAAATTAAAGATTTGAATGTAGAAGATTTATTTTTAAATAAACAAATTTATAATAATATTGCAAATTCTTTATTAACATTTGAAGAAAAAGTTAACTTCAAGATGAATGTAAGCAAGAGTTAAATAATAGAATCAATGAAATGATAAATGAGACAGAAAATATTGATAATTTAAATGAAAATCAAGTTATAGATAATTTGATAAAACAATCAGATATAACATTTCATAAAAAATCAATATTACAACAAAATAGAAAAACAAAATTAAATAAATTACAACAAGATCTTTTGCAATATTATAAAGAAATAATAAATCATACAGATATCTCATCACAATTACGAGAAATTCAATTAGCAATAGAAAGAGAAACAAGATTATTTGCTAAACAAAAAGTAACTTTATTTAATTTAGTAAATGAAAAATATCAAAAAAGTATACAGCAAGAAATAATCAACAATATTAATGAGAAAATAAATAAAGAATCCAATATTGTTAAATTACAAGTTGATATAAAAGATGAGATTGATGATGATAATAATCTTACTTTTCAACAAAAACATGAATTACATAATATACATAATGAAAAAATTAGAAATCTTCGTGGAAATACTGCATTAACAAGATTTTAAGAAGAAATAGAAAATGAAAGTTTTCTTGGTAATTTATTAGATGGAGGACATTATGATAAAATGATACAACTTAATGTATCATTAAATAAAGGCCAAAAAAAAGAATTACAAGATTTGAGAAAACAATGTTTAATTTTATTAATTAATAAAAATTACGACTCATTATTAAATGAGATTCAACAATCAAAAGATATCGAAAGATTAAAAGATGATGGTTATTATGTTAATCGAATAAATGAAGTTAGACAAGAATATTTAACAGATGAAAGAACACGAGATAAATTAAATTAAGCAAGACGATCACAATTAGATTTTCTTATTAGTGAAAATGAAAATCAAATTTATAATTCATTATTAACCAAGATTCAACAATCAAAAGATATTGAAAGATTAAAAGATGATGGTTATTATGTTAATCGAATAAATCAAATTAGTCAAGAATATTTAACTAATGATAGAACATGAAACAAATTAGATCAAGTAAGAAGATCTCAATTAGATTCTCTTTATGGTAACGATGAAAATCAGAGTTATGATTTATTATTAGAATTAATTCATAATAGTGAAAATATTAATGAAATATCATCAGAATCTGAAATTTCAAAAGATATACAAATGTTAAATCAAACTTTATTAACTGGAAATCGAGATTTAGTATCATTAGAAAATACAAGAAAACAAAATTATAATGATAGATTATATGATATTTTAAAATCTGCAATTGAAAATAAAAATAATATTGATAAATTAAAAACTACTTAAATGCAAGCTATTAATAAAATAGAATATGAATATTTGACAAATGAACGAACTAAATCAATACTTCAAGAATTATTGAATAAAAGAATTCAATATTTACAACAATTAGAAGAAGTACCTAAACGCCTGCAAACAAAACATCCTATTGAAGAAGTTGAAAGTAATAATTCAACAACAAATCCCGATAAAGCAGACCAAGAACATAATTTAGCAGGAACAGTAGATCAACAAATAACATATATAATTAATCAATATAGAAAAATTTTAAGTGCTGAAGATCAAAAAAAATATTTTCCTTGTACAAAAACTAAAACAGTAGCTGAAATTATTAAAAAAGCTTATGATATAATATGAGATAAACGATCATTATTAGATGTATTGTATTATAAATAGGTATTAGGAAAAGATGATTCATTTCTTTTTGAAAAAAATTACAAAGCAACAAAAATTAATGAGATGAAAAATATAATTAATAATTTAAATAATTATTTGTATGAAGAGCCTAGAAAAAAAGCAATGATATCGAAAGAAAGATTACAAAAACATAAAAAATTAGAAAATTATAAAAACATCCAATGATATTTGTTCTAGCAAGCATATCTTGGGATAATCCGTTTAAGTTCCGTGTAGAAAAAATAGATGTTATAGCAAGTATAAAAGTTATTATCGATCAATATAAAAATTCATTAGCAAATATTCTTGATATTACACAAAAAAATATTGATATTATACAACAGAGTTTATCAAATATGATGCTTGATTATAAAACTGAAAATAAAAAAAAGAATTTTTTAGATGTTGTAACAGAAGTGTTAATAAATGGTGAAGAAATTAAATATATTAAAGAAGAAGAGATAAAAAATATGTTTAATTCGTTTATTTTTAATTTTTAAATATTTAATACAAATATAAATTTAATATAAATAAAATAATAATAAAATATAAAATAAAATAAATTAACCAAATGTTTTAACTAATTTTTCTAAAGTAAAAGCTGTATCAGCAATGTCAATAACTTCAGGTTTTAATTTATCTATATAAATATTAATTTCACATAAAAGATTTGGAGGCATTGATTTAACAAGATTAACAAGATCTGTAATATTAATATTAATATCATTTAATTTTTTTTTATTATCAGAATTTTTAGTTTTCAAAAGTTCATTTTCTTTATTGATTTTTTCTTTTTCTTTTTTTAATGCATCATAGTTAGTTAAAAGTTTATCATGATTAGTTTTTAAAGATTTACTTTCTTCAATTAAATCTTGTAAATCTTTTAAATCTTTTTTAATTTTATTAGTATTTTTATGTGCTTGATCATATTTTGCTTTTAACAATTTATGATCTTTTTTTAGTTTCTTAATTTCATTATTTTTTTTCTTTAATAAATCATTTAAATCAACAATTTTTTTATTATACTTATCTTTAAGGTTTTTAACAATTTTTTCTAATTCTTTCTTCTTTTTTTCTTCATCTTTAAGTTGAGTTTTAATTTTTTTATTTTTTCTATTAATTCATTTATTTGTTTTAATAGATTTTCTTTCTCTTCTTGAGCAAGTTTTTTAGTTTTTTCATGTGCTTCTTTTTCTTTTTTCAAATTTTTCTTTTCAGTCTTGTAAAGATTTCTTGTTTCTTCATGACAAAGTTTTTTGGTTTTTAATTTTTTTTTGGTTATATTATGATTTTCTTTTTCTTTTTGTAACTTTTCTAAAGTATCTTCATATTTTGTTTTATATTTTTCAATTTCAGCATTTTTTGTTTTATTATCATCGATATGTTTCTTGTTTATTTTTTCAATTTCTTTTTGATATTTTTGGTTTGTTTCTTTAATATCATTTTCTAATTTATTTTTTGTTTCATTATGTTCTTTTTTTTCTTTTTTTAATTTATTTTTTGTTATTTCATGAGGTTTAATTTCATTAAGATATTGTTGATAGTCTTTTTTTAATTGTTTTTGAAGTTCTTTATTTAAGTTTAATTCTTCAATGAATTTATTATAAAATTCATCAAGTTTCTTTTTAGTATTATTATGTTTTTTAATCTCATTATTTAGATTTACTTCTTTTTCAGTTAAAAGTTTTTTATTGTTTTGATATATAGAATTTGTTAGATTATATAAATTTCTAAGATTTGTTATTTGTGATTGAATAGTTGAAAGTTGTGTTTTTAAATTATTCAAATTATCAAGATAAGAATTTGCATTTTTATTATGATAACCAGAAGTATTATAATAATGATAAGTATTATTATAAAGTTTAGTATAATAAATATTTGTTCTTGTCCATCTGAACAATAAATTATAAAGTAAGCAAAGAACCATTTTGTTAAAAATTTAATGATTATTGTTTATTAAATTCTTGGGTATATGAATAAACAATTAAACAAATGATTACAATTAAAATTATCATTAATATTTTAATAGAATGATATTATATTTATATAATTTATTTATGTAAATAATATAAAATAAAGTTTAATATGAATTTAAATATAAAAAGAAACATGTTTGTATATTAAAAATGTCGTCTATATCAGATTCACAAACACCATGTCCTGATCCTGTTGTTTCTACTTATACACAAAATCAAAAACAAAGAATTGCTGAAGCTTCTGCTAAAATTGAAGTAATTTTAAAACAAAAAGATGATGAATTACAAAATTAAAAAAAACTTTATGATGATTTATTAAAGACATTAAATGATATTGGTCTTATTGTTAAAAAAGCAGTTAGAGAAGCATTACAAAACTTGAATATTGATAATGATTTAAAAGAAATTAATGAGGCTCTTAAAAAAATTGATAATGAAGATTTGAAAAAACTTATTAATGAAAAAACAGAAGAAATTAAAGCAAAATTAGGTGATTTTCAGGTATCAACTCCTATTGAAGCTGATGATATTGCAAGTACTTTAGAACAACTTGCCAATAAATATCAATCTAATCTTGATACAACAGGAAATAGAAGTAATCCATAAAAAAAAAATAAATGATCAATCAAGTGATCTTTTAGAAAAAACTAAAAAAAATATTACTATAATATGTTATTATATAATTGATATTATTATTATAACAAGTATTTTTATTATAGTAAATTTTGTATTCGATAAAAATATAAAATGTATAATTTTTTAGTTTAATTGTACTACTTTAATTTTATATAAATAAGATGTATTTACTTATCAATATTTTTAAATAAAAATGATTGCTCTAATGTTTATTTATGGCATTTTTCATTTTCATTGTGTGATTATGCGATGTATCAATATATATCATTAGATTCTTTTTTTTAATGAATATTATTATGAAGTTATAATTTACACTACAAGTTTTGTAAGTCTATATTTATGTATTTGTATAAATTTTAAGTTACTTATATAATTAACTTTATTTTTAAACAATGATAACATTATTCATTTAAATAATTAAAGTAAGAATGTGTTAATAATGTTTTTTAATACTATTACTAATTTTATTTTTTATATATAGTTTTTTATTATGATTTTATATATTTATATTGTATGTGGATTATTAAATTTATATTTAAAGTATCATTTGGATTATGTTGAAATGGGTTATTATTTATTTTTAAAAGTTAAGAATTACTATAAATAAACTTCTTAAGTTTTTATTTTTTTAATTATATCTGATAATGAAAATATATCAAGTAGTTCTAAAAATAAAGAACATGATACAGCATCAGAAAGTTCGAATGATAGTGATTTGGAAACAAAGAAAATTATTTTAAATGATGACATTGAAAAAATACATAAAGCTATTGAAAACAAAGAAAATATAGATTTAGATAAAACAATAGGAATACTAAAACAAGTTAGCAATTTAACAATAACTGATTACAATAGAGTTTATGATGAACAAAATGAAACTATTAATGCATTGAAATTGATTAATTTAAATTTAGCATGTGAAGTACAATATTATAAAGGATGTCTTTGTGAAGAGTTAATACAAACAATCAAAGAATGGTTTAATGATTTACTTGATATGTTAGTGTTCTTTATTTTAGAATTAAAATATATAAAAAAATTAATTATGTTGATAAAAAATATAATACCAATGTTTATTTTAAATATTCTTAATACAATACATTTTTTTGAAAAAATACATTCAAGAAATTGGACATTTGTACAACATTTTTTTACAAAAATTATTTTGCCTCTAGTGTTTATAGTATTGTATTTACTTAGATTACCTATTTTGAGAACTGTTAGCAATCTTTTAATAATTTACATAATCACAATCATATTTTTTATCTATTATTTAAATTATTTATTCAATTGTAAATTAACTATCATAGTATTACAAAAATCATAAATAGATTTATAGTATTTATGTAAATTCTTAAATGATTCTATTATTAAATAAAAAATATATAAATATTTTGTTTTTTAATTAAAAGTAATTATAAAAAAAAACATACTTTGTTTGTAATTCATTATAAGTTATTTTTGCGCATATGAATATGCAACTAAGGAAATTATAGAAATTACAATCAGAGTAGTAATCATTTTTGTTGGTTTCAATTATCAGATAATTTTTGTTAATATAAAATTTTAATATTACTTATTTATATTTAATTATTTATATATTTTATTTTAAATAAAGTTTAATGATAAAAATTAAATACATATATGTTTTTGATAATATTCATAAATAATAAACTTATATTTTTAAACTCTACGATTATGTGTACATTTGTTGTAACCTGTTTTATCACAGATACTACATCGATAGATTCTCTTATTTTGATTTTTACATTTATGTGTTCCAACACTAATATGAGTTCATTTATTGAAACCATACAAGATAACATCTTGTTTACGACATGTTAAACAACTTAATTTTTTTGGATTTAACGTCTCAGAAGAGACAAAACTTATAAAAATTAATAGAATAATTAAATAGATAATTTTTTTATTCATACTAAAAAAAAAATAAATTAATTAATAAATATCTATATTAAAAAAATATATAAAAGAAACATACTTGTTTTTATTTTTATTTTATTTTATCGATCAAAGAATTAAGAAGTGATATTTATAATTATTTAACTAATACAATTTTAAAAAAGTATGTATTTAAAATTTATAAGTTATTTTAATTTTTTATTTATTTTTTATTTTGTGTTTAGATGAGTGATATTTATGATAATACAAGAAAATATACAAATGCTAAAGGAACAGTAAAAATCAATGGTTATTCTATCAATGTTGTATTTGATAGTGGTTGTTCAGAATCTTCTATGCCTAATCATATTAGAGAACAACTAGGATTACAAATTACTGATTATAGATGTTCTCCTTCTACTACATCCAATGGTGAAAAAAAAACATGTTATGGAATGTTAATGGTTGATATTGAAATTGGTGATAAAAATGTTAATTTTCTAATTAAAGTAGTTGAATCTATTAAAGATTATCTTTTGTTAGGTACATTTTTTTTTATAACTAACCAAGCGAAGCTTAATTATAAAAAAATAATTATTGAAATGAAATATAATCATGAAAAATTTTCTACACCGTTTACTATTTCAAAATAGATTTTATATATTTTATTTATAAATTCTTAAATAATTTGTTGTGTAACAAAATTTATTATAAAAGAAAGAAATAAATTTTATATCAATTAAGTTTTAATAAATATGAAAGCTTTAAAAGATCTTAAATATAAACAAAAATATAAACATTTAAAAAAAAAAAAAGAAGAATTAGAAAATATTATGAAAACGAATTTGAAGAATTAAAAGATAAATTGGCTTCTTTAAAAATTGAAAATAATGAATTAAAGAATAAATTTTATATGATTGAAAAACTTAAAAAAAAACAAAAACCATATACTTGTCAATGTGATGTAAAGATTAATGATATTGAAACTAATATTTGTATCAATTCTGGTTGTAATGAAATGAGTTTTATGACAATGAAAAAAGCAAAGAAATTAGGATTAAAAATTAAACCAGCTGATGAAAATGATTATTGTATGGGTGTTGGTGGTCAATCTAAAATCGAAGGAGTTAGTTCTACAATAATTGAATTTGATGGCATCAAATTTCCAATTCATTTTGAAATAGGAAATACAACTAGTATTTTAATTGGCTGTAATTTTTTAAAATGTTATAATGCTGAAATTAATTTTAAAACTGAATATTTAAAATTAACACACAATGATAAAACTATTAAAATTAAACTTGATATATATTAGTTTTATTTTTATTTAAATAAATATATATTATATTATTATTATTTTTATATATTTTAAATTATTATATATTATCTATAGATTGAATAATAAATAATAATTATAAAAGAAGAAATTAAAAACTTTAAAAAATTTAAACAAAAAATGGGTAGAACACGTACAAAACCAAATAGAAATGCTAAACCTTCATCAGTTGCATGTGAAAGATGTAGAAAAAACAAAGTACAATGTGTGATTGATGATAATAAAATATGTAAAAATTGTACAAAAGTTGGGGCAAATTGCATCATTCCTGAAAAATCAAAATGGGGTCCAACAAAAAAGGAAAAATTAAAAAAAACAACATAGGTATGAAAATAATATAAAAGATGTAAATGTTTTTCCGATAATGAAAAAAAATCTTCAAAAATTTATACAAAAATGTCTTCATACAATTCTCGTACTGCTGTTGCATCTGGTTCTTTGTATCGTACATCAAGTAGACGCATTCCACCAAACCAAGAAGAACTTTATTCTTCTTCAGATGAATATCTAGCATCTTTAGGTAAAATGAATTTTTTATCGATTGTTCTTGAATAAAGTTTAATTTTTATTTATACTATTTTAGAATCTACAATAATTGATACTTATATAAATCAAGCAACAAGAGATTTAAAATGGTACAAAAGAATGTTTTGGATTTTTTTGTTTTCTTTAATTATTGTAATATGTTTATATTTTGCTTCTCAAAATAAAATATTGATTTTAGAAGCAGAAAAAAATGAATTGTACAACAAATATTTTGATATGTACAATGAGATTATTGGTACAATAGAAAAAAATAATAGCCATCTTATTTCTATAATAGAAAACAATAACAAATTACTTCATAATAAGATAGCACCAATCATATAATTTATTTTTTTTCGCTTTGTAATTATAATTTAATTGTACATAAAAGTTTCTTTTTAAATAAAATATTTTAGTAAAATGACTTTGTAAGTCTTATCTTCATACTAAACTAGTAAAATGGCTTTTGTAAGTCTTATCTGTGAACTAAACTATTTTTAGTAAATTTACTTTCATAAGTCTTATCTTTTAATTAATTTTTTTTAGTAAAATAGCTTTCATGAGTCATAACTTTGAATTAAACTATTTTAGTAAATTTATTTTAAAAACATTTTATTTTATTTTATATATATATACAAGCAAATTTTTAAATATTTTGATATTAATCAAATATTATATTATAAATTTATAAAATGATTTCACCTATAGTTATATGCATTTTGGTAACAGCTAATATTATTGTATTAGGTCTTAATATATTTCAAGATATAAAAAAAAATAAGTAAGAAATTTTATTTATATATATTTTTATTAGCAATAATTTTTAATATTATTTTTAATATATAGAAGAAATATGTATTAAATTATAAGAAAGTTTTTGAATTATTTGATAAAGTTAAAAATAATTTAAACTATTTTTAGTAAAATGACTTTTAAAAGTCATTTTTAAATTAAACTATTTTAGTAAAATGGCTTTCATGAGTCTTATCTATGAACTAAATTATTTTTAGTAAAATGGCTTTTGAATTAAATTATTTTTAATAAAATAGCTTTTATGAGTTTTATTTATGAACTAAACTATTTTTAGTAAAATGGCTTTTGAATTAAATTATTTTTAGTAAAATGACTTCCATGAGTTTTATCTATAAACTAAACTATTTTTAGTAAAATGGCTTTTATCAGTCATATCTTTGAATTAAACTATTTATAGAAATTATTATTTCGAAAAGAATTTTATTAAATTAAATATATTTATTTATTAATAAAAATTTATTTATAACATTATTCATATTTAATAATTTTAAAATAATAATATAAATAAAAAATGAAATGAAAAAAAAAACTTTTAGAAATTTTAAATATAGATCTAAAAGAAAAAAAATATTCAATAAAAATTTTTAGTATAGTTCAGGAGTTGATACATTTTCAAAGTTATTAATCTGAGTCTGTAAAGTTCTAATAGTTTGTTCTAAACGATTGATAGTTTGTTGCATAAGATCTGTTTCATGTTTATAATTTCTTTCTCTTTCTTCTCTTTTACATTTATGAGTTTTTTCTTGATTTTTTAATCTTTTACTATATTCATATTTATGTTTTTTTCTTATATCTTCAATTCATTCAACTTCTTTTTTATAGTTTTCAATTGTAGCCATTAAAGTTGTAATTGCATTTGTTTTTGTATTAATTAATTCTCAGTAAAGACTGATTTCATTAGCATGATTTTCTTTCATTTCTTGTTTTTGTTTTTCAAAAGTTGTTTGATAAAGACTGATTTTATTAATATGATGTTCTTTTTGTTTATTAAATGCTGCTGTTAGTTCATTAACTTTTACTAAAAGTTGATTTTTTGTTATATTATTACCAGACATTTTTTCTGGCAACAAGTTACATATAAAATTGTAAAATTTTGACATTTTTATAATAAATTTTTTATATAACGATATAATAAACTAATAAGAACTTGAAGTTTATTTATAGTTAAACAACTTAATAAATAAATATATGATATAATGCACAGTTTATTAATCATTTAAAGTTTTCTTTATTTATGATATATCTGAATTAAATAATTTAATTCGAATACATCATAAATAAAGAAAACTAACAATAAAATATTTTACATTCTATGTGAATCTAAAAAATTAATAATTCTATCTAAGTTTTTATTAAATAAAATTTTTTTCATTTCAACTCCAACTTGTTCTTTAATTAATTCAAGATTCATATTATGAACTTTGTAAATATATAACCAAGAAACGAACAGAAAATTAAAAATATAAAAAGAATAAATTGATAAATTAAAAGATGTTTTTGTAACATTTTTATTGAATTTTCTAAAGAATGAATTTTATTCTCATATTGAGTAAATTCATTTATTATTCGTTCAGAAAGATAATTTACATCTAAAATAAAATAAAATATTTAATAATATTAAATTTTTTAATAAATAATTTATAAATTATACCTTCAGAAGAAGCAACAATTTCTTCAGTAATCATTTCAATTTGTTCGATTACTGGAACAACTGCTGTTGTTGGAATGAAAGTTGTCATTTTGTTATAATTGTTGTTAAAATTTTTTGTATATAATTTTGTTTTTTATAAAATATTTACACTAATTTTTTAAGAAAAGTTAATGTTTAAATACCTGATGCTTGTGATTCATCATAAGAAAGAGGCAAGTCTTTATAAATTTCTTGTTGGTTATTCTTGCCAGATAATGTAGACATATTTGTAGCAAAATTTTTCAATAAATACAAAATTGTAAGTGTAATATAAACAATTGAATCAGAATAAATTTGTAACTATTTAATTTTATTTGTACTTTTAAATAATGTTTAAAAATTTATTACATATATAGAACATTCGAATTCGAAAATCATTTCTAATATTAATTAACGTGATTGAAACAAAAGTATCCATAAGAATTATTTTTAGTAAATGATAATTATATAATTTTTTAATAGTAATCTATATTTGGCATGATAATCATTTATATAAACTGTTGATCTACAAAAAATTTTCACTTCACTTGTTCCACTCTTCGATGACTACACATTTTGAAACTAGAGCCTCTGAACTTCTATAGTTTAAACTATTCTAAACAGAATCTCTATAAAGTTTATATATAAAATTTTTTCAATATAGTAGAGAAGAATGAATTCGTCAATTGTTTTGAATGGTTTTTAGTACAATTTGGCCAAATAGATTTCTTTCTATTAAATGAAAATTGTAATGTAGAAGCTTAACTTGGTTGTTTTTTTATTTATTTTTTCGTTGGTCTTAAAAACATAAAAAAGAATTTCAAACAAAGACTTGTAAGCTACACTTACAAGGACTCCTGGTAGGCCGAGGCTGTTCACCTGAATAAGCGCTACCTGGGTTATTTTATATAATGCAATAAGGAATATATCAAATATTGGTTAGGGCTAGATATATTTCTCCCTTTAAAAGGCATTGGGATTATTTATAAGATTTTCTTTGAAAATGATGAATAATCTATGATTCTATGATCCAAACCTGCTCATGGTAGAATCGCATATTAAATTTTATAATTTAATGACTAATTGGATCAATTTTTTTATTAATTTTAAATTTTATCTTTTATTTTGTAATGTTTTTAATTAATAATATAATTTAATAAAATTAAAAATATAATTGGTTAATTTTTAAATTAAGAAATATAAAAGTATATAAATTTATTAAATTTTATAATTGGAAGTTTAAAAATGTATTCACTTGAAGAAGAAACTAAAAAATCACCTTAGAAGAAAGTATTCGATTCATTTGAAGTTCTGTCAGCTTGGAACAAATTACCAATCATCAAATCTTGAAAAAAATCAAATTCTTATCGAATAATTGAGATTGATGCAACACTCTTCAATAAAGTTTCAACTCAGAAAGAAAAAATCACATTTTTAACAGATCTCAATAATTTTGATTTAATTAAAAACTATATTTGGTTTTATTCTAAAAGTAAAAATAATAGTACATTTTATATTCAAACACATATTAAAAATAAAAATTTAAGATTTCATTAAATGATTTATCCAGAATGGAAAATAATAGACCATATTAACAGATTTGGAACAGATAATCGTAAATGTAATCTACGAGAAACAACACCAAGAAAAAATGCATTAAATTGTAAATTACGAAATGATAATACATCAAAATTAAATGGAATTTCATTTGATAATGTTTTAAATGCTTGGAGATTTCAATAGAAAGAAAATAATAAACATAAAACTAAATGATTTTGAATTACAAAAAATAGAACTAGTGAACAAGTGAAACAACAAGCAATAGAATTTAAATTAAAATATAATAAATTAACAAGAAACAAAAATGGTTATAAAGTTTAATTTATTATTTTAAACAATCAATAAAGGCTTTCCAAATATTATCTTTATGTTTTTGATACCACATATATTGTAATAAATATTTTTAAATAAATTTTTTATTTCTTGATTGTCTTGGTAAATTAAGTTTAAGAGCATTTCAGACCGACTTAATTGTATTACTATGAATTTTTTGTTTTAATAATTTAATATTTTTTTTACTATGATTTACTTGTTTATGTTTAATTCCATATTTTTTAATACCACAATAACTTTTCCAACTGTTAGTATATACATTTGATCATTTTTTAATATGTTTTTTAATAATTCTATATATTGTTTCAGTATTTCTATTTTTTACAATTTCAAAATAGCATTTTTGAATAGAATTAATTTTTGCTTTATTTTTTATATTTTTTGTATGTTGAATCATTCCAACAATCCAGAAATCTTCAAATTTACTTTTATCAATTTCAATTATTTCATGATCACCTCTAAGTAAAAATCATCTTCTATTAAAAAATTGATAATTTGTTGTCAAAATATTTTAACAAATTTGATTATAGTTTTTGGTGAAATTCCAGTAATATCACATAATGTCTTAGTTTTAATTCGATTAATAAAAAAATATCCAATTAAAAGAATATATGATGAAATTAAATTTGAATTAAAAAAAATAGTATTTTTAAAAATTGAAACATTTTTATAACAAGTTTTATTTTTACAAAATAAAATTATGTTGTGAAGATAAATTTCTGATTGACATATTGAACATTTTTTAGAAATTTTAATAATATTTGCTTCAATTAAATATTCAATAGTTTTTGATTCATTACAAAAAATATTGTTTAATTTAATAATTGATTGCATTATTGTTTAAATTTAAGAAACAAGAATATTATTTCCTTTTATAGATTTTTTAAAGTTATAGTTGTAATATTTTATAATATTAATTTAGTTATAGTAATATATACAAGGTCACTAGGATATCATAAAATGTTACCCATTTTAGTCTATAGTAAATTACATAGTGATCTATGTCATATTATACTATGATCTTTGTCCAAATGACTAATAGATCATCAATTAATAATAAAGATTTTTATTAACTATTTTAATAATAACTTTAAATATTATCATTAAAATAGAATTAATTATTAACAATTAAAAATTAAATTAATAATAATATTTTATTAGTAATAAACAAAGTTTTTTATAATAAAAAAATTTTTTTCTGAGCATTAGTAAATCTTATTAACTAGAAAATTTCTTTAGATTAATTAAATATCTGCTTGAAATTAACTATTATAACAAATTACTTAATAATTAAGATAAGATTTACCTTTATACTAATGTTGAGATAACTTAACAAAAATATTATTTTTGTTATTTATTTATTTTTTTTTTTTGGTATTAAGATGACCTCTTTGGTCTTTTGACTTTTATTAATCACTTGTCAGTATTGTGGTTCAATGAACCACTACAGGAGAGC